CACATTCCATAAACAATGCTGAGGGCAATGCACCATAGCAATACATTTCCCTTTTCTGCAAGAGCACTGGAGGGGGTCTGTGTGTGTGTTTGTTAAAATTATGCTCACTTTGCTTGGGTCACCAACTCCCTGCCCCGTTTTTGTTTTTTTTTTTTGTTCCATTCCGCACTTGCAATTTTTTCTCAGTTGAGTGTGTGGATTTCCTTTTGCTCACTTTGAATCTAATCATTTCTCTAATATATTGTGCACAGTTGAAAATGCTAATCTTGATCTTCACAGTGGCTGCAGCCCTCACCACTCTCACCAGCTTTCTGTGTTCAGCAGTACCTTCCCCAAGAGGTGTGTGCACTCACACAAGTGCAATAGGTAGAACCCCTTACCAAAATAAAGATATGTTGCACCCGATTCTTTTCTCTGACTTACAAGAGCAGCCACTCAAAGGAAGATTTGCTTTTAACAAATCCACAGTGGCTGTCTCAGAGCATGTGTTGTATTCTGGGCACTTATGAACTGACTGTCTACCAGTGTGCTCTGCATCCTTCCAGACAGCACAGTTGTGTCCTGACAGGTTTTCTGGTGATAAATGCCTGTCAAACACCAAGGGTGAGCTATGGGTTCCAGTCTTCTCTTTCACCAGGCACAGTCTAATTTTATTCTTTTCCTAGATCCATTTTTTCCTATTCTGTGTTAATTCCTTCTTCACTTAAAATTCGTAAGTTCTATTATTCTTTAATAATTTGCAAATTATCTGCACTCAGGTTACCAATCAGAAGATCGTGTCCTCAACCCCTCTGACCATAGCCTGTGTTTTTGTTCACTTAAGCTGATGCTGACACCACAGTCTTGCACCCTGAAGTCAGTGTGTGAGTCAATCCAACACCTCACTGGGAGGGATTTGCTAAGCCTAGTTCTCCTCTCCTCATTTTCAGGAGTTGCATTTGCTCACTCTGGCTCTTGTGCCAGCTTTGGCACTCATCTGATCCCTCAGAGAGCTGATTCAGCTTATTAAACCAGCAGAAAATAGATTTACTGTTGTTTGGGTTTTTGATGGGGCTACTTTCCCTGTAGGGACAGATAAAAACACTTAGCCCATTTCACCTAATTGCAACCTCGTGCTGGTTTACATCAGTTTAAATCAATCTAAATTGAAGCTGCCATGTTAATCCCCTCATCCCCACCTACACAACTGTACCTCTTCCTCACTAACAGTCATGCAAATGGGTGGGGAGCAAGACAGAGCTTTTTTTGTTGTTGTTTTGGTGAGGTTACTCCTTGCTGGATGATCTCACTGAACTCGGCAGCTGCACAAGAAATTCAGTTTAGCCTAAACAGAACTCGTCCTGCTCTTCTTAATGCCACACCTGGGAACGTTCTGCAGTGCATAAGCAAATTCCCAGCAGTAATTAGCTCCCTCTTCACTGAGACAGGGATATGCTAAATCAGTAAGTGCTAATTAACTAGGGGATCATAACCCATTTTATACCTATTTGGTAAAACTCCTCAGACATGTAGAGTCACCTCTTGATTCTACTCTATTCCTTAGACAGTAATTTGTATTCAATCTAAACTGACAAGACAAGGGAAATATTATCCTCATACTTAAAAAGGCATGAAAATATTCAGTGTGGGTAACACAGGCTAATTACAGTGGTAACTTGTCAAAGGTGCTCACACAGACCAGTGACAGAGTAAGAAAGTGAGGAGAAGCTTCCAATTCCTCAGCCTCCATCCCACCCATTGTCCCACATCAAACCTGCTCATATAGAAAAGCACCCACTTGTTCTGGAAAAGCAGGAGAACCTCTCTCCCAGTTCAAAGCTGCTTCCTTTATCACCAAGCCCAAGGAATTACAGTGACCCCTCCACTCTGTCATGCTTGCCATGAAGGGTAAAAAGATTGCACATCATCTGCCTGCAAACGTAGTTCCAAACCACACAGTTATTAAAGAGACACTTGGAGTGTTCTGCCTGGCCCTGTGGAGTTTGTGGTGCTGTGCAATCTGCCTAAAGGAGAGCAGAAATAAAGCTCAGTTTCCACCCAGATGTCCTGCAGGACAACAGAGTGCTCTAATTGGAATAAACTGGGACCTGTTCTTACCATTGCCCCAGGCCCTGTGTGCAGTGCAGCCTCAGGTTTTGGATATGGCATACACTAAAAACCACCCCCAAAATAATGTGATTTAAAAGAATGTTTGCAAATCCAGATCATTTGTTTTTACTGTCTCCAGTGTCCTGGTATCAAACTTCAACCTAAGTTTTACCTCAGTCTCACGTGTCAAGGAAAACTGAAGAATGCATGGGAATGTTTTGTGACAATTCCATGCAGGAATACCTCTTCATTTCAGGGTTTTTTTCATTTCAAGCAGTTTTTATCTGCTTGTCAAAGCTGCACATTGCAAACTCATTCTCTACAAGTATTTTTTACCCACTGCAGCCCAGAAAAAGAGAACAAAACTTGCTGACTCTTCATTCCACAGCCAGGTTTTGCAATACTGTAAATCCCTGTTTGCCTGCCATGCAATGACATTTTCAAATTTCATTGCTTTAGAATATCTGTTCTTGAAATCTGCAGTGTATTTTCCAAAGTCCATTTTCCATATTTTCTCAGTTGCACGTGATGGTTCGAAGTTACAGTTTGAAAATGTTTTCCAGATTATAAAAATAAAAAATTTGCTTACTCAGACTAAGCAGTTTCCTAATTACAGTTTCAGTGAAGATGTTTGATTCCTTATTTCCTTTCTTTTATCAGCATTTTACAGTTCTGACTCCATTCTCCCCCGCCAATATTCCAGTCTTGTTATAAAAATGGTCACATTTTATGTCACATGCTTTAAATGGGGCCTGTACTGCACATGTTTTATGCTTCTTATTTGTCCACAAATTTTTCTCTAGATGTATTTTAGGTGCACATGTACCAAAGTAAGTCACTTTGCTTTCTGCACTGGAAGTCCATTATTCTTTAATTCCAATATTTCCTTAGATATCATCCCACAAGAGAAAGAAATTACTCCTAAGAGCAGGATGACCCAGTATCACAGTTTACAAATCACTTCACCCACAATTCTCAGAACAGATTAGTTATTCGAAGTGACAAAGAGAACCTTAACCTTTGTAATGTGTCAAAATCTTAATTAATAACCATTTCCCCTCACAGGAACACAGTACAAATACAAGTAATTGACTGTTTATAAAGCTATAACAAATTTGAGTTTAAATAACATCTGAGAAAAATAAAGCAATTTTTTCAGTTTATCCAATCCAAACAAATCTTCCTCTGAAGTTCTGTGTCAAGGCAGCCCTGTTAAACAGAAGAAAAGTACCTGTTGATTTTTAAGACTTAGAGGGTGGCTAAAGGTCTCTTTTATACAGGAAATTAAACTATTTGGGATTTTTTTTTTTTTTGTCTGGCTATATGATGTATGTATCTGAGATCTGGTGGCTGCATGGGGACATCTTTTATTCCATATCCAAATGCTGGAACTAATGATGGCACAGAAATATCACCCAATCACTTCCAACATCTAAACCACACAGCTTCGGTTCTTTTGGACTCACAGCTGTTTCTGTGAACAATTTGTGATGGCAAATTCTGTTCTTGCCAAATTCAGTGTTCTCCAGCAGAACTAACATTGCTGCAGCCTCGCCAGCATGAAATGACCACTCATTTTTATTGAAGCTGCAGGACTTTTTCAGGACACCACAAACACAGCACGAAACTTGTTTATAGCTGCTGATTACGTGCCATTCCTCGAGGTTCAGAGCTGAGGAATGCTTTGCTGAAGAAGTTCCATCCCTGCCGTGGTAATTCCTTCTTGTAAAGCCTTGGCTCACTTTGAGGGCACCAGTACCTCTGCAGGAGCCAGCCTGCATTAAGCTGAGCTTATCTTTGGGCCGAGCTGCCCCCCGCTCCCTGCCCACACATCCTGACTCAGTCACACCCTGGGCCTTCATGAAAATGTTCTCCAGCCACAGGACTGGATTTTAAACTGTAACAACCATCAGAGGGACCTGGAGCAAAGGACATGCCCAGGCAGTGGTGCTGCAATGTCCCTCCTGCACAGGGGTCTCAGGTGCTGTGCACTGCTGAGGAGTGAGAGCATCACCTCTCCAGCACTAATGAGGACAGGCTATGCAAGGAATTAGCTGAAATACCACCTCTACTTTTCCAACAAAAAATAAAGCACCCCACTAGTTTTGCCTTGACAGAGCCACTGACCATGAGTGTTCCTGAACTCTACAGCAACACAGCAGAGGCAAGTAACATTTCTCTCAGAGATCATGTCTACTTCTGATCTCAAAGCTGTGCCCAATGTTTATGAAAACAAAGTTTCTCATGTCTGAGCAGCTTTTCAAATTTGAGAACCCGAAGCATTATGAGTTCCTAGGTCTAGATACATACCCCAGATTTATTCTCCCCCTCTACTAGGGCAAAAATCCTCGGGAAAAACAGCATGGGTAGTGACAGGACAGGATCTATGTCATACTTTCCCAGATCCTTAACCTGACTGGTCAGAAGATCAAGGATCCATGGCAAGAAGTCAGCATATACGTAGGCAGAAATAGCTTCAGTTTGGCTCAATCCATCCCTACTACAAAAGAAAACCCAAGGCCCTTTTACTGCAAACAGTGATCCCAAGCTTTGTGACTCTCTGTGGGGAAGTTGGCACTGAAACATTCTCAGTGCTCTGCAGTTTAAGCTCCACCAGTTCTTCCCACACTTCAGCCCATACCCTGACTGAAGGATGTGCCCTCAGGGTATGATTGAGCAGAAAAGCAGCAAGTCCTTTCCATGCAAAGTCACAGAAAACTCTGGGACCTTAAGCTACTCACCATCAGTCTCCTTGTAACAAATACACTTTATAAGTGCATCTTAAGTCCCATCCTACACTCATTCATTCATGCAAAATAACTGGCTTTATTTGGTTTCCTCACAAGTCAGATAAAAAGATTTAGTCCCTTCCATGAGAATCACGAAGGAGAAGTTTAATACAATTTACTCACCGGAGGATTTCCTTCCGAGTGAAGAACGTGCAATCCTGTTAAAAAACAAAAGGTGTCATTGTACTACAGAAATATTGAAAACAACTGCAAAGAACTCTTTTTCAAACTTTTGGGAGGAGACTCAGATCTGACAGAAAAACATTAAAGATGCCATTTGTGTATGATCTGCTTTTGACTCAGAAAGCAAAATATGCTGTAAAAGAACTAAAATATCCTAAGGACAAGCCTATCAGTAAAAAAAAAAAAATATTGCTAATGGGGAACTCCAGGAGAAAAAAAAAAACAGCTTGTTGAAATACTTCTCCAGTGTGGAATGACCAGATCGGAAACAAAATTAAATCCAAAAAGTGAGATACAGGCCAAAAATGTTCAATAAGTGGATCTCGAAAACTATAAACAACAGATGAAGAAAAATGTCTTCTAACTCGAAGTATTTCTCTCCTGGAGACAACTGGTTTAACAATAAAAGTTATGTAGTTATTTATTAGTTATTAAGCCCTTTTGCTAACAATTACTTTGCACTGTGGTCACTTTGGCAAAGGCTCCAAACTCCTGTTGTCAGGAATATGGATAAATGGACAGCCCCTGCTCTGAACAGCAGGAAAACTAATCAGCTCTCCCTGTGCTATCCCAGAATTTCAAATAACTTACTAAAATGTGACACAGAGCTCGCTGACCATGAAAGAAGAGCTTACAAGCATTCACTTGCATTCTAAATGTGGTGGAACTGAATTTACACTGGTTTCATTCACTTTTTGAACATCTATGTTATCCTAGAAAATTCATACACTTCACCAAAGAACATGTAAGCAGTGGAAGAGTTTGCATTTCATGCATTTCTAAATCAGTCACAAAACCAGTTACAATTGCAGGTGCTGTGAAGAGACATAAATAATCAGTCCCATCCCATTAACAGGAATATCCCCTAACCTCCACTATCTTATCTAATACATATTTAAGGGAAATTCTGCCCTGCATCCAAAACTAGGAACACTGCTGGCAATGAAATATTTGATAATCAGTTGACACCATCCTTCATAAATTCAGAGAGTATGCAACTTGTTTTAGAGGGAGCTCCTGAGGGTGTATATATAGGGAACAACCACCAAAATATTCTTCCTGATTATCCACCTCTCTCACAGGCCCATGTGAGTTCTCCCCCTTTAATGTGAACACATTTAGAATATATCATCTTTTAAAATCAGCAAGTGACAAAAGAAGAGTATCAGACTGGGAACTCAAGAGTATATATAACTAGGTTGACTCTCCTAATCCTGCTCTCCTGTCAGCTACTGGAAAAGCATTTCTTTCCCAAGCTGAGAATCATTCTGGCCAAACACCTGCTTCTTCCAAGGAGGGGAAAAGCAAGTGGTGCAGCAGCTGAGGCAGTTAAACAGCCTGTCTCGGGTGTCCGGGGGTGCTATCAGCCCTGCTTGGTATCAATTATTGAGTTTGCCTGCTCTCCTCCATCTAAAGTGGCAGGAGCAGCAGCTCTTCCTTCACGGATTGTGTAGCAGAATCCTGTTACCAGGCACAGGAGGAAGCACCTTGTGAGCGCTGACACTGATGGCACATTGTCTGGAACAGCACTAAGTGAGATCTGAGCCTGCTCGTTAAATCCTCCTTAATTCCAGCACAATCAACAGTCAAACTGTCACTTAAGGATGATTCATTTACTAAGAAAAGGCAGGTGTAATCTCACAAATAATTGCAATGCCCTCAGCAGCAATCATCCTGTAATTAGAGAGGCTGGAGGAAACAGCAGCCACTGTTACTTAACTAGCGAGCTGAAAGGGAGGGATATGCAAATGAAGACAAAGATTAAAAAGAAAAGTTACCCTTTACCTTGCAGAAATCATGCAAAAATGCTATTGGAAGACTTAAGAGGTCAGATCATAAACCAGTGTTGCTGACAGGGCACATATTTTACTTTAAGCTGAGTTGCCTCTTGTCATTGACAACAAACACTATTTTTTAATCAAGCAAAATTTTTACTAATATAAACTAAAACCCACTCACACTGAAAACCTTTATAGCAAAAGCAGTTGCAACCATCTGCATGACCACTGTTACTGACAGCAACATTCCCACTATTATGCCTGCCAATCACATGGAATTGGCAGGGATGAGGGGTGCCAAGAAAACCTCCCAGGGCTTCCCAGAGCACTCGCAGGGATCTTAAAGCTGCTCAGGGTCAGAGCCCCACAAATGAACTGGCCTGTACTTCTGATCCCTTTGGAAATGATTTACCACCCAGAGGCCTGGCTGGCATCAAGGGGCAAGTGGAAAAGCCACAGCTCCAAGTGATTCCCGCCGGGCGAGTCCAGCCATCCCTCTGCCTTCTCCCACTTCCTCATGTCTGCCTTCTCCTCCATGCAGACTTCTCAGGGGGGAGTAGAATAACTGCGTCAGAGAAGCCTGAAGGGAGGAACTAACGTGTTTGTATCACCCCAGCAATGATGGATGCATTTCCAGCTCAGATCGTTTCCTTTTAGATCCTTAGAATTGGCAGTGCTGGTACAAGAGAGGAAGGTGAAACAAATATCTATTGATACAAGAAAGGGGTACAAGACTGACTTTTTTTTTTCCTTTTTTTTTTTTTTGGAAGCACAGCCCTAAGTTGGATTAAAACCATGATGGAGCAAAGGTCTAAATAACATAATTACATTTCATAGTTGCTGGAACTAAAGCAATTTAATTCCAATTTAATTAAAGACTTTTGGCCAAAGAAACACGGAGGTGAATCATCCAATTTTCTCCTGGCTACTTCATTCATACAGAAAACACACAATGATGGACAATAAATAGTTAACATGCTCAATTCACTCTCTCATAAGGAAAGGTGAGGTGGGTCCTGGAAAGCATTTGTCATTTATGCACGGGAAAACTTTGGCTGGAAGGAAGATCAAAGCTACCATGGAATACATTTGCTATTTTGTGGACTGTATTTGAGTTTATTATGAACACAAAAAGCACCCTGTCTGTTCTGTTTGGACACTTAAGCCACTGGGAGTCCTGCTAGAAAAGAACAAACTAAATACTGAACAAAAAAACATTACCAGAGTTTTCGTAACTCTTATCAATTCAACATTTCTGGCAAGAATTGATCGCGAGAATCATTGCTTTTATTTCTAGTGCTATCCAGTGGCCTGACAGAGCCCTGCTAACAGCAGGCCCCTTGGGGGTTTTAGCTTGTTTAGAACAGAGGCTTTGCCTCGACAGGTCACTATTGCAGCCCCTGAGAACAAACCTGCTCCTTTTCCAAGAGCAACGGCCCCACTCGGTCTGTCCTCAGGCCCTAAATAATCAAGGGAATTGGAAGGCTGACATGGGATCACTGCTGCTTTCTTGGAGGTAAAATACCACTTAAACAAATCTGCAATTATCCACTCACCATCTTATGTCTAGCAAAGACAATAAAATCAAGCAAAGGGAACATTCCCCATTGATTTCTAGGAGATCGTTCACTTGTCTGATGGGACCTGATGCTCGGATTCAGCATTTGGGTGGCTTAAATGCTTCTCAAAATACTTTGCAGAGAGCAGAGGCAGATGGCTGGTGCATTTAGGTTCCAGGGGTAGCTCTGCTCATTGGCTCATGGTATTGGGACTTTCTGCAACATTGCTTGTAGGGAAGGGTTAACAGTCTCTGCTCTTACAAATGATTTTATACAACAGCAGAATGCACATGCTGTTAGCTTCATTCTTTTATTTCCTATGTCAGATGAAGGCAGGTTTAGGACAGAACAGACTGAAATAGGTGGCCTACTACCTTTTCCACCAGTCTGTAAAATTTTACTGCAAATTCCTAGGTCAGCTCTGCTTTATATTGAGTTCTACAGTGATTTGAACAAAAAACACTGAGAGAGAGAGAACTGTGCTGATACTGAACTTTCTGCCAGGTGTCCACACGCAGCACAACATGAGGAATGGCTCCAGGATCAGCTGTCCTGTGGGAGAGAATGCCAGCTCCTGAGGGCAGCTCGTGAATGGCAGCAGAGTGCAGTGAATGGAAGGGTTTCACCCCTTCAAAAGCACAAAGCACAGCTCTGAAATCAAACTGATCCCACAGGTACATGCACCACACTCCTCTACAGAAGGAAAAACTGGAGAAAGGAACAACAGAAGGAAAGAACAGAAGTGCTCAAACGTGCAAAGCTGCTGTGAAACAGTTCTTGCATCCACTGAATTTATTTCTCCTCTTGGACAATGCATATATATTCTGCCTCTTGTATGTATAGTTTCATAAGGGCAGGTTTACTCTGATCCTGCAACAGCTTCACTGGAAAGTTTTATAAATAAGGAAATAATATAAATCAGTCAAAAAATCACTCCAAATTAAAAAAAAAAACAAACAACAGCCTCAGACAAAAGCCAGGAAACTACAGATAATGGAAACCAATGGCTAACAGGACAGAGGAGATCCATAGAGCTGAGGGAGCAGCTCTTAAGAAATGCTAAGTAGTGAATGCTGCAGCATTTTAAAAGGTAATATTTCAAGCAAATTATTTCAGAGGCTTCGTTTTTAAAATCACCAGTGGTGTTCTGTTCTGTGCCAAAGCACACAATGTGTGTAAAATCATTTGATCAAAACACCATTAGAACATCATCTCCTGAAGCAATCCAAAAATCTGGTACTGGAGAGAAGCAAATGAACTTCCAGATGAGACCCACCATTAACCTCACTCTGGTAATGTTTTACAAAGGCAGTATTTCTGTTCTACGTGCCATACAACTAAGACTGGTATCGAGTTGGGCAAGACTTAGTCAGCAAGATATTTATGTATTTTCACCCCTGTGAGTGTATGAAGAGTTAACAGAACCGGTGAGTTAAAAATGCTGTTTGCATTGGAACATGGATGGAGATTTGACACACAGCTCATCCTTACTTGTCATCATACTTATTTTACAACCACAGCCAAAACAACCAAAACACCTCCTGAGTTTCAGGAGGGAAAAGCTGCAGCTTCAAGAACCAATTTATATATTCATACTGCAACATGGGAGTAAAATCAGTCAGACACTGGCCAGGACTGGGAAGAAGCAACTGCCAACAAATGTAATTTTGCTCAATCTATATAAGCACCAAATGGTAACATGAAACCAGAATCTGACTAAAGGATAACCTCAAAAAAACCTTGTGCCATTATTATGCTGCTTACATTTGCACAGGAACAGCAGTACTGTACCAAATGGAAAATACTTTTTACTCAAGATCTTGGAGAACCTGTGATGAATTTTCCAAGACCCTGAACAAATCAAGCATGGCTTTTAAATCAAAAGATAGCTCGATGACCTACTTTCACTTTACACATGGCATTTCTTGACAGATCATAACGTAACTTGTTTCATCTGGTTTTGCAGAATTCCCAGGAAATATAGCTGAATTCCACTTTGACTTCAGTTTTGATAAAAGGATAAAAGTTAGCTCTGTAATAGACAAATTCTTGTGTAAAAGGAGCAAGTAATTATTTCACAGTACTATATTTTATTGCAATATTGCCTTGAAGACTGCCAGGGTACATAAGTCTGTTTTGAGGCTGGATTAAATAATGCAGAGTAAATAATACCATTAATGAACAAAGTATAAATGCCTTGCAGTAAAACCGGCAACATGCCCTATACTATCTAGGTTCTGTTAGGACAAAAAAAAAACAAACAAGGAAGAAGCAAATTTGTATCAAATTCAGCTCAGTTACTGAAGTAACCCCAGAACAGGGAATGAGGTTGACTGAGCAGTTCATCCACAGCCCAAGCACAGTTTCTCTGCCTTTCCTACTCAGTGCAGCTGTTTCTCAGTGAGGAATGCAGTGCACCAAGGCAAAAAAAAGTGCCCCTGATGTTGCTTTATTGCACACCTGCATTTTCTGCTGCTTCAAGCACCTTTACACAGCATCACTCAAAAAGCCCTAAAATCCCCCTTCGTTTTCTTTTCTCAAAGAGACTTGACCTCCAAAATCTGTAGGCAGCTTTTAAAATGTTTTTAAAATGTTCTTTTATTGCAATGAAATGCATCTTTCTTGACTATCAATACTTGCCTTTTCCCTAACCAGACCCTGGTTAGATTTTGCATTTTGTGTATTAAAAAAAAAAACAACAAACCAAACCAAACCCAAAACCAAAATAAAACAAACAAACAAACAAACCCACCAAAACAAAAACCCCTCCATTACATTAACAACCAACCCCCCCCCAAAAACCCCAAAAAAACACAACCAGAAACCCAGGGCAGCCAAGTACTCTAAGGGCATAAGAATCAGAAATGTCCAGTAGAATTCATTTTCTTACAGGGCCAGGTTTTTAAATGAGGTGAATCTCCATGAGGAAACCAGTGCCAGCAAAAGCCTCACTTCCAAAACATTTCACTAATCTTATGAAAATTTAAAGATCTGCCAACTAGAACACTATTTTAATAACAAGTGATAGGATCTTAATAGCAGGTGATATGACAAGGTGTTAGGAGATTTACAGCTTTCCAGTCTTTCTTTGATCTGCCTCTACCTCTTTTGAATTAAAAAAAAAAAAAAAGAAAGCTGAAAGGTTCAATATTATAAAGTCCTATTACATGTCTCTTTTACAAACAGTTTCAACTGGTTACTCATCACCAGTCTTAATGAAGAGCACTCAAAAGACTTGTCCATTAAAAACACTGAGGTCATCCTGTGAGTGACCAGATTTCATTTAAATGTAAAGGTTCTGCTAAAAAGTGGCTCTACAATATGAGAGTTTACATGTAAAAAAAATGTATAATCAGGCATTTCACAAAGTTTTAGATAAATCTAATAAGGCTATTTTATTTCATTAATATCATATTCATGATCTGAGATTTATGTATGCTTGCTCTTCAAGCAGGTGATTTTTCTGCAGCTTCATCTTTACTCCCTAAAGCCAAAGTCACTTATACATGATTTTACCAAACTTTAAGCACGTGAACTTCTCACTTTTCCATCTCATAGTGTCTCCTCCAGAACAAGCACATAAAACATACTGAATTTTAAAAAAATTATAAAAATTTCCCTACTAAAGTAGTATTTAGGTGCTATGAGCTCAAAGCGATTTGTACTAAAAAAAGGCAGAAGCTACAACCAGACAAGGCACTGTCCAGAAATACGTTTAAATAAAGAAATTATAAAGTCTAACCATGAGTTAAGTGAGGTTTTGAACAGTCTTCCAATAGGAACTGTAGGGAAATAAAAGAAAACCCAAACCATATTTTATATAAAGGATTAAGCTGATTCTTTTGTTTCTGCCATACTGAGATATGAACACTGTACCCCTGGGTATTATTGCAAGGAGTACAGTACTAACTCAGAGACACACAAATTCACAAGAAATTGCCTAGTTCTCCTTTGGAAAAAAAAAAAAAAGATGACTCAATGGTCCATTTAAAAAGCAATCCCTTCCTGTACACTGGGGTACAGCTGTGCACACCAGACTGTTGCAGAGGGGCCCGTGGTACACAGTGTTTTACTTTGGTCCAGTGTTCAGAGGCCCTGGTAACTCAGCTGCTGGCTCAAGGCATGAAAACCTGCATTTAAAGAATTATAGAACCATTGCCTCATTCTCCCCTTTTCTGTTCTGAAGGAATTCCCCAAATGGGAACAGGGCAGGTAAGATGGCAAACTCTGAGTCCAAGTTCCATTTGTATGACACCAACTGCCCTCTCCCCCAGGATGCAGTGGAGGGACAGGAGCTCTCTGGGGGGGGGGGCTACAGAAGTCAGACCAGGATCTCTGGGTTTAAAAGATACAAGAGTGATGCAAAACTAATGGATCAGAGCAAATCACCACCAAAATTAGGTCCTTATCTGATTCTTCACAGCACGAGGCAAAGGTTCCTTCCTGACAAATCCTGCGGGTCAGTGATTGTCCTGAAACTCGTTATTTTATGGCACTCACCACACATAACAAGTGCTATTACTAGTCAAAAATTATCTAGCACTACACTAATGAACTAAAGTCTGCCTGTAACAGAGAAATCCCAAAGGTGACTCAATCCACCCGGCCCAACTCCTGCCAGGCTTCGAGATCAATTACCCGGCATTAGGAAAGGCAGGGGCTGCAAAACCCATTAGAGAGAGGCAATTTCTGCATGAAGAGCAGTGAATTAGGGATGACATTTCAGCTCTTGCATTTGCCAGTTTATGTCAAGAAGATAGCATTAATTCCATTTGGATTTTGTTTTGTTTCGCTGCAGTTGTGCTCTGTTCTGTGTTCACTTGCATTGTTAGCAGGATGACAGACGCTGGCGCTTTACAGATCTTTGATTTCCCTCTTGCCTCTCCAGCAGGGAGGGGAAAAAGCCTATTTGGATCTATTTGGACTACTAAGACCATTAACTTAGACTAATATATTACAGTGACAGACTGCTGGTGAGGGTGAGATGTGTGACAAAGTGGAAATTAAAGAAGGGCCATTTGCACGTTTCCTGCAATGACAAGGAAAAGGCGAGGTATTTATAAAAGCATTTAATTTATGCCTTATTTTCAACATGGGATAATGGTTCAAAGCATTTGAGCATCCACCCCTAGCCTGACTCTGTGGATAAACATTTACACCTATGAAAAGTCCATGTTAGCAGGAACTTGAGATAAAATTAGTAACTAAAATAATAGTTTCCACTTCAAGGGCTTGAATCAAAGATCCCAACAGTAAATCGTTATTATGACTGGACCTGCCCCTTGGTTATCATAAGATAAACTGAATCTTGACTTCCTGCACTATTAATTCTATGTTTGTCACTTTATGAAGAAGAACAGAGCCCTGTCTCCATCTCTTAGTAAGGAGTCAGCTGTGCACAACAGCCTCCTTTTTCAGCACACTTCTACTCCGTGCAGCACCTCACTGGATTGTCAGAAACTTGTTCAAGATGCTCATTGTGCAGAGAGCTGCCTGCAATCCATTTCAGGAAGATTTGCAGTGTGCTGAAACATGACTGGAAAGTGGGAATTATTTTTTACCCTATTAAAAAAAAAAAAAAATCAGTTGATGCAACGTGAGTAAATAGAGAAGTGCCGAGTTATCCCTGACATAAAATGCAACTCCACTTCTGTTCAGGTAAGAAACTGCCATCCAGGAGTGGATGCAAGCATAACAATCCCTGTTCTGGACTTACATTAAGCATATTTCTATGATTCATCCTTAGGAGAAGTGAATTTAGACAAGACCTCCTTTTTTTCCCTTTCCCCTCTATTGTCACCAAAGGCATCGGGGAGAGAAAGAGAGGTTATTGCTACACTTTGTCAAGCTCATCACAGTCTTTATCCTGCTTCCTAGTCCAGGCATTGAGGATGTGACTTTTCCTGGTATACAGAGAGGGAATTATACTATGTATATTTAACAACCCAGCCTTTGAATACCGTTACAGTTGCTGGAAGGAATAGTAGAACGTGTGCATGCAGGTTACAAAGGAAGTTTTCAATTATATTAGAAAAGAAAAACCATTCCTCAAACCAAACAAAAAACCGAATCAGAAACACATGAAGATTACTCCTTCCCATCTCCTAATGCAAACCGAGATATCTTACCTGGTAGGCATCTAGCTGTTCATCAGTAAATATCGTTTGCTTATTACCCATCTTAAATGAGGAATTCTTCCTCTCTGCAAATGCATCCCATTAGGAGCAGCTGGATTCCTCTGTATTGTAGGCATTTAGAGCACGTATACTCCGAGAGAGCGCCGAAAAAATCCCAGAGCCTGCATTGAACTGGTTGTGCCCGTCCCCGACCGGTGAGGAAGGACGCGGCACCGGGAAATCTTTGCAGAGGCTTGACTGGAGCGCGCCAGGAAGGAAGAGCGTGTGAAATCACGGGCAGGTGTCGTCCAAAGACAGCGATGCCACACTCCCCTTTTCCAGGTGCTTTTCTGAGAGGCACACGGAGCTTTTATAACCCCAAAGCCGAGCGGGCGGTGCTGGCGGAGAGCAGCTCCCTGGTGCCTCGGGGCTCACTCCGGGATTCCAGGACGCTCTTCCCGGCACCTCCAGGTTTGGGAGCTGCTCTGCGTCAGCCGGTGGCGCTCGGCAGCGCAGTCGTGCTGCACAGACAGCCACGGAGCAAACCTGGGCAGCGGGAAAGGCCCCGGCAGAGCACGGCTCCTGCGGCCGCTCTGCCCCAGAGCCCGGGAGAGCTGCCAAAGGCGCTCAGGGCTGCGGGGAGGCTCGCGGTGCCCGGAGCATCCCCGCCACATCCCCGCCTGCCACAGGAAATGCCCGCGTCTGCACCGCCAAACTCCCAGGGACAGTCAATGCGAGTACTCCTTCTCACAGTAAAAAATAAATAAATAAAAAAAAAAATCAAGATTAAAGCAGTTTAACAGACGCTAATCTGAGTCCTTAGGCTGAAGCAAGCACAGCTGGGAAGGAAAAAATACTACCGCAGCCTAAAGCAAAAGCACGGAGTGCCAGCAGAGGGCTCCCGGGATGGTGTTTTAGTTCACCACAACACTATTTCCGTGAAAATTAAAAAAATAAAGAGCATCTCTGAGAAGCAGCCAGACAAAATGAATAAACTCGGACAAAATTGTATTATCTGACATCTGCAGAAGGGTAAGCTCCTACAGCAACAGCAGGAGGAAGGCTGAGTGAGAAAGGATGGCAACAAGGAAGAAAGACCTGTTGTAAGTTCACTTTCCATTCATGCACAAAGGAACGGGAGAGGGTAAAACTAAAGTCTTTATTTACAGCTCTGTCGATGGTCATTATTTCCTCGTCAAGGAAGGTTAGCAAGGTTAATAAAACCACTCCCAAGAATTGCCTTGTGCTTTTCCCTACAGCTACTAATGATCCTGACCTGATAACCTGATAATTGGGTAATAGTTCACTTTACCTTGGCATATAACAACAAAGAACAAACATTTAACAGTAATACCAAAAGTAAATATATTGTATACATAGTAAAAATATCCTATGGAGTGTGTTGGATGTGTAGTAAAAACATTCTACAAAGTGCTGAACCACAGCCTGTTCTAAGAGAGGGCTTATTCAAATTATAGCATTTAGAATGCAGGTTTGAGTAGCTGCAAACCAGCACTGCCCTGAGCTACAGAACCACAGTGTATTACCATGGATGAGAATGTGTGCAACAAGGCTTATCAGGGATAAACAAACATCAGAATTGTAACAGTCAAAGAAATGGATTCTACCAATGACAGTTTGATGCTACTGCAGTGGATAAAAAAGTTGCTTTTCCAACACATGATGGATGGGAGGATGCTCAGACCCCATAAATGTGTCTGGAAGTGCTATCCTGTAAGAGAAGGCTTCCTGGGCCTGAGCCCTGCCTGAGGAAAGAATAAACAGCTTGAGAAAGAGGCAAAACTCATGTCCCTCAAACTGGTGCAAGTGCCAGCTGTCCCATTAAACTGCATTTGTTCTGATGAGCAGGAACTCTTTAGGAGAGTTTTTAATGCTAAAGAAAACAAACAAAAGAAAAGCTTGTGTGAAAACTTGTTGGGTTTATGATCTTACCTGTCTAGCTTAAAAAAATTCACTGTGTTAGAAGATGGAGGTTTCTGACTGCATTTCATTAAGCCTAATTTATCCATAATAAGTAAAAATGACCCTTTTTTTAAGGTGCTTTGCACAAGACAATGTCTTGCCTCAGGGACAAAATAATAATAAAAAAATAGTGGTTTCCTAAACAGACTAAATTCAATAGAATGAATTTCCTCATAGGGAGTCTCAATACAGTGATCACTAGGAAAGACTGTACTGATATCTCTACACATTTTTCTAGGCAAAATAAATACTGATGGGTTTATTACTGTGTTGTTCAGCCCTCCTCAGGACAGATCCAAACCAGACTCCGTCAATGGCTTAGTACTGCAACCTTATTATGGTGACACCCACGAGACACAGATCAAGAGGTCTCAAAAATATGTGTGAAAAATTTCTCCCCTCAATTTACAATCAAAGTGCAACCCCAGAACAGAAATGCAGATACAGTTAGAAATACAAGAACACAAGATGAATGTACTGATCAGCTGTGGAAAAGAAAGACGGCACAACAGAAGAGCCAATATTTGCAAAGTATACTCGAGCTTTGAAACCAAGAAACAATATTTCACATAAATATTTAGGACAGCTATCTGCAAGGCCAATTTGGATTTTAAAGACTAAAAGTGAAAATCAGCAGTAGTTACCAGAAGAAAATCAGTATCAAGAGACCTCTGCACACTTGCCCTACAGACATCAGAGTGGCAATTCTCAAATCAAAGCACTATCAAAACCAAGATAAAACATCAACAGAGGAAGAGGTGTGAGTACCTCTGGTGTCCTGTGATGAAAAAAAAAAAAAAAAGGCAAGTAACACCCAGAAAATGGAGGCTACAAATCTTGTCTATTGTCAAATATCAGTTCTGAGAACTTCCACTCACAAGTTCAGGACAAGAGGGAACTGAACACACAGTCTCAGTCCTTTGCTTTTAAACACAGCCAGGACTGAGCTGAGTAAATGAAAAGGCTGGAATTAATCTGACAACTATCACCAAAAACTCGTACAAAATTGTACTGAGACAACCCCCAAATTCTGATATTGCCAAAGTGAAAGAAAGGTAGGAAAAGCTTTTAAAAAGCTGTTCTTCCCAGAGGTCTGAGCTCGAACTGCCTTAGTTCTCGTTTGGTGCTTTACTCTCAGGAACACCCCAAGCTACGGAACCACCTCAGCCAGGAACAACCAGCACCTGTGACCCGGCTGGGGGATGTGGAGCAGCCTCGGCGCTGGGGCAGCGGGACTGGGGAGGGGGCACTGCAGCCCTGGCCCCCCACAGCCCCTCCTGGAACCGCCTTCGGAGAACGAGACAAGTGCCTCAGAAAGGAAGGCAAATACCAACCTCGAAGTGCCCCGATTTCAACAACTTTGGGGCTTAATACTTTAAAGTGCCTGGGTTTTGTTTTTCATCAGCTGCCACAAAACTCTGACACTCTTCTTTCTTAGCAACAACAGCTATTTTTCCAGTAAACTACCTGATTCTAGAAGCTGGGATTTTATAAAGGCTTCAGAAATGGAAAACCGGTTCTGTTTGTCGATGCCACAGCGGTGCCTCCTCAGACACCGCCACGGGGGCTCCCGCGGCCTCCGGCGGCACCGGCACCGCCCGCACGGCCGGGCTGCGGGGGAGCCCCGCGGGAGGGGGCTCGGGCCGCCCGGGGCAGCGGCGGCAGGAGCTGAGGGCCCGCGGGCGGCAGCGAAGGAACCGAGGGCAGGAGCTGAGGGCCCGCGGGCGGGAGCGGATCAGTGGATCAGCGGCTCAGGGCTGCGGGCGCTGCGGCAGCGGCGGCCCCGGGGCGGGGCTCCCCCGGCGGGGCGGGGCCGGGCCGGCGCTCCCCACGCGCCGGTTCCGGTCTGGCGGCGGGCGCGCAGCGGAGGGGCCTCGGCAGCCGCGGAGCCCGGGCGCGTCATGGCCGCGGCCGCGTGGATGCCCACGGTAGGCGGGGGACGGGACGGGCCCTGGCCGGGGAGCTCCTCTGACCTTGGCCGGTGCCTCAGGCAGAGCCGCAAGGTCGCGGTGCCGCCGGGCCCTGGCAGCGCTGCCGGGGGCGAAGGGCCGCGGGGCCGGAGGGCGGCGGGTTCCGAGTGTGCGTGTCCCCTGCCGGGGGCGGCGGGAGGCGCCGCGGGGCCGTTACCGGGCGGGCCGGGGGCGCCGCGGCGGCCCCAGCGGCCTGCGGGGAGGTCGCGCCGTAGAGGTCACGGCGCCGGGGCGGTCCCGCGGCGGGGCTCGGGCAGCGCGGGCTGGGAACGCCGGTCCCGCGGGGAGCCCCCGCCCCGGGCACTGCGGGGCCCCGCGGACAGCGGGCCGGGGGCTCTCCGCCCCCACAGCTCCGCTCTGGGGCTCGCCGGCTCTGGGCCGCTCTGAACGCGGCCCTTGGCGCGGGGATGCTGCTTTGTGCCTCGAGTAAATGGAATTTCTGTGGAGCCTTTAAATGACAGCCTGACCGGGGCAAAGTCATTGAGGCCGCCCCACGTAACCTGTCTGCTCAAATGAGGAGGAACTGTCGGGAGCTGATCACGGCACGTGACTGCAAGGTCGGGATGGATCGCTCTCCTTCGGCCCGACTCCTTCTTGGTGTTATCAATGTTGAACTTCAGTATAACTTACCAGGCCCGTGATTTCTGCAAGGACAGGCTGTTCCCTTTCCAGGGCTATTTTGGAATGTGAATCCCGGCTCTAGGTGTAGGAATTGTACCACGAGGACACTTAGGCTGTGGAGTGAACTTCACGATTTCATTTAATTGCTCCAGCTGCTTCCTCAGCCATGTGGCTGCTGTGGCAAGCACTGCTTGCCCGTGGCAGTGACCTTGGACATTTCATGTGGAGCTACAAGCAAAAATAGATCTAGCTTAAGTTACTTCTCCCACAGCATTCCTTACAATTTACCTGAGACTTGTATTGTTTGTAGTTGTTTCTGTTGGTGCCAGCACAGTGTGAGCCTTTTGCCGTACGCTGTATGTGTCAGTAAAGGTGAGAAATAACAAATACAAATGGAACAGGAGAGGAATACAAGTTGTCAGATTCCATTCTAGCTGATAGCTGCAGACAGCCTGCACATGTGAGTGTGGCAGAGCTGAAGGAGTGTCGATTTACAGTTAAAAGCCTTCTAGCTCTTAAGCCACAGAGCCATCAATAGTCCTAAAAAGGAGGGTAAGACTGGGAGGCTGTGATTTCTCTGCAGATTGGGAATTTTGTCCATGATGTTCAGCTAGACAAGAGCTTAGTTACCACCCCAGTTTTGAAGCTTAATGCCAGTTCAGAATATTCAGATGTTAGAAAGTGTAATTCTTTGACTGTGCTTTCTGGACTCGTTGCTATGGTGAATTTTGTCTTTAATGTGCATTTCAGTTACGCTTTTTAAAACCCATCAGGCCTGCAGAAGGCAGCAGTGCAAATCATACAGCTACAGGAGGTAGAAGAACAAAATTCACCACGTTTTGAACGGAAGAAGTGACACTGATGCAAAGTAGTTTTGGAAACCTCACCTCAAATGCGTGAAGATACTTCCACCCAACAAAGTGTTTCATTTTTCACGTTGCTTTCCACAAATCCCAATCCTTAGCATATCATCTATTTAGCTGAGTTACTGCAGCCTTGCTTCCAGTCTGTTGTGTGTGAGGACTCCAGCAGTGGTGCAGGGGCTTCCCCTCACCCAAGGCACGAAGGGCTGTCCTGGGCTCACCTCGTGCTAAGAATACTTGGTGCAAAGAATGTTAGACAGCAACTTGGCAAAGCACTGGGTACTCTTGTTTCACTTGGACTTTTGTACTAGTTTGAGATAGGAAATTTAAAGCAA